TGCCATGGGCTACCGTGTGTAGCCAGCAGCCAGTGTGAGCGGCCAGCAGCCGCAGTGAGCGGCCATCCAGAAGCCGGCGACTGATCTGCCTCACCCAGGAAGAGCGCAATGATGGTGCCAACTTCGACCAGTGAAGCAACATCCTCCACAACTAGACTGAAGAACAAAATGACAGCAACTTATCTGTTCCCCTTCCCCCAATCCCCCAATGCTGTTCCCATCCCCCAATTCCCCAATAAAAAAAAATCTTAAAAAAAAAAAAGCAAATGACTGTTTCAAAAAGTTATCTATGCTTATTTCCAGTTCACAGCAGCATGATTTCTAATCATAAATATTGGCAATTACCCAAACATCCAAGAATAACAAGCAGGGTTGATTAAATCAATGGAATAGTATTTAGACACTAAGACGTATAAAAAGTTTTCATGAAAAATGCACGATATAATAAAACAAATCCATAACAAACAACAGCTTCACACACATCATAGTCTTCATTTTATATAAAAGTAATAACAGGAAGCAGAGAGCAGCACCCGTCACCCGCAGACGACCGCTGTGCCCTACAGACCTGCTCCTCGGACCTGACATTCAGCTCATCCCGGGACACCAGCTCCAGCACGTCCTCCAAGGGCAAGGCCAGGAATTCTTCCGCCATGGACACCTCCACAAAGTGCTGGTGGATGAAGCTATTGGCCGCGTCGTACAGCACAGCGCACATCATTGTCTCAGCAAACTGGCGGACACCCAGGCAGTTTTTTGGGTGAAGCCTTTTGGTGTAAGAGAAGACAAAAAGAAAAAACTTAGAGGAAGAAAGAACAGTATCTTCGATCATTCTCAGGTCGTTCTGGGTAAAGCCAGGAATAAAAAACATCCAATTTGTCCTCAACTTTGGAAACTCCCAGTGTCACATCAGACGCCTCTCTGGGAATCAACTTATAAAGGTATAAAATGAAGACAGGTTCTGCTCAGGGGTTCTTGTCTCTGAGGCCTGGTGTCCTGTGCATCTAGGTGGAAGGTGCTCTCCGTTAAGTCCCATGGTGCAGCTCTCAGAGGAGAGAAGAACAGAACATGTACTGGAAAGCCTGCTTGCTTTCCTTTGGCTATTGCCATTCTTGGTTGAGTGTCCACCTCTGGTCACCAGGGAGGCAGTGAAGTTGTAGAATGAGAGTTTCAACCACGAGGAGAGATGACTTCTCTAACATCGGGACCCTTACACTTTTTTCTATTTTTAAACAGAAAGAGGCTCTGTGGGTCTAATTGTTCAGACACCCAGAACGAACAGCCAGGCAGCTGTCGCTTATTTCGCACCATCAGTGAGTTAAGTGCTTTGTCAGGCCTTTCACAGATATTCTGCAGAATCTTTTCAACAACATTGCACAGTAATTACTCTCATTTTTAGACGGAAAACTGAGGCCAGAGAAACTAAGAAGGGTACATCACTGGGGCATGAAGAAACTGTCCTGGTCTAAAAAGCACTTTCTAAACATCTTTTAGGTGACAGAATTTGTGACAGAGCCTGGGTCCAGGGCTGACAGTGATGGCCTCCAAAGCCCCTAGGTGGAGCTGCTGCTGTCCCCTTGTGAGAGTGGCCTACGTCATCCTTTCCAGGGTGCCTGCTTCATCATTCTCCAATTTCTGTGGGAACACAGATGAACCAAGTCCAGTCTGTCCTTAAGCTGACAAACCAGTAGGGAAGACAGTGTGTGCCTCCAGCATCCCAGGGCAGGGTGGAGAGGCTGGGGCAGCACTCTCACTATGTGGTCTCCATCTGCAGCAGCTGGAACAGGATTGTCTACCTCACGATGACACACTCACCCCGCACCCAGCAGAGCGCACCCTGCATGTGAGGCAGCACTCCCACGGTTACTAAGACCAGCTGCACACACGGCAGTGCTCAGTGTTTCCCAAGGGCACCACACGAGCAGGACGTGCACAGCAGGCTGGGTCCACAGAGCCGCTAAGGGAACTGGACTGGCAGAGCCAGAATAGGAGGGAGAGGGGGCTCTAAGAGGGGACGAGGTTCAGAAGGGCAGTGAGGTGGGAGGAAAGCCGTTCTTCAGGCCGGGCACCTGCTGATCAGAACACTCAGGTGGAGAGCAGGCCTTGGGGAGCAGCAGACAATGGGCGCCCGCCGGTCTGGCTTCTCCCTCCTGTGTGTACCCCAGCACTGACCCTCACCCTGAAGCCTCCAGTGGTTCAAAGGCAGCCTTGGCTTTATGGCTCCACTAAGAGCTCTGCCTAGTGAGGGGGAGGAAGAGCCTTCTCATCTGCTCAGTCATCAAAAGGTCATTGCCAAGTGCTGGGCACAGGCAGGGGTATAATCCATGGTCTTCACCCTAAAAGAGCAATGATGACCCCTCCCAGGGGACTGGGGGACAGAGAATTCCAGGAGGTACAATTTGGGCGGGTTCTTAAGGAACTGAAGGGAAAACAAAGATCATGAAATTCGTGGAGAAGGAAGGCTCTAAACAAAGATGGAGATGTCTGTGGAACAGTTCAGAGCACTGAATAAATCCGTTTGTAAATGAGCAGCTGGTCAGGTTGGAGACGGAGGACCAGAGAAGTGGTACAAGTCTGGCCAAGGGAGAGGCAGGCAGGGCTTCATACATCACGTCCCTCAAAGGTGCAACCCGAAGAACTGGGTACTGCTTGATTCTGATTTCAAGGAAGGTCATTTCTGCAGCGTAACCATCCCCGCTCACTCCCTTTGTAAAATTCTATGTGCCCCAAAGGCTCAGCACCTTGGCCGGGCTTCCAGCAATGAAATGGTCCCACTCCCCTCCCAGGCCAGGCTCACCCACCACCTCACCGTTCTCGGAGGAACGTGCAGCAGGCGTCTTTGATGCTCTGCAGCTGCAGGAAGCTCGCCCCCATCAGCAGTGACTGCACATTTTGCTGGTCGATGGCAAGGTGGCCGTTGTAGGCAAAGTTGATCAGAGCCTCCAGGGCGCTGGAGGAAAGAGGAAAAAGGAAAGCTGCTCTTCAGAGTTGGGTCCTGGCCCCAGGAGACTCAGGCCCTAAGTGAGCTGACATTACCGCCTGGGGAACGAATGAGCCCCGCCCTAAAGCCCACTGAGCCCATGCCCTTTGAGAATCTATCTGAATGGAATAATTACTTCACCATAGCCAGACTCATTCTCCTTCTTGTTTTATTGCCCAAATAATTTTATAATAGAAAATTCTAAAAAGAGAAAGCAATTACCCACAATCTCACTACTGAACAAGTCAACGGCGGCCATTTCTCCAGGCTCCTTTTCAGTCCTTATTTTCCCGCATGCATAAGTTGTTTGGATATGATCATGTAATACTTCTGAGGACCTCTCGCATGTTGCTGAACTGCCTTTATGTTTATCATTTTTAGTGGTTGCCATATAATATTTCAGTATGTAAATATGCTATAATTTATTTCCTTTGTTGGCAGGCATAATAACTATTACCATCTTACTGCCATTATAAGTAATGTTTATAATTATTATTTCTTTGGGATAAATTTCCAGAATGAGATTTCCAACATTTTTTTCCTCCCTTCCAATTCACACTGAGCACGAAATGCAAATTCTGTCTTTCTGGCTGTACGTGGTCTGGCCCCTCTCCATCTCTCTGACCTCATCACCTTCCATTCCGTCCCCCCTCACTCTATTCCAACATGCTGAACACGCTCTCACCTCAGGGCCTTTGCACTGGCTGCTCCCTCTGTTTGGAGGGCTCGTCCCCCAGATGGCTCACTCCCTCACTTCAATTAAGGTCTCGGCTCAAATGCCACCTCATCAGAGGCCTTCCCTGATCACCCTGAAATAGCACAGACCCCCATCATCATTTGCTAGCCTTTACTCTGCTTTACTTTTCTGATAGCACTTTCACTTCCCAGCCATATCATATGTGTATATTCGTTGCCAGATCCCCGCTATTAGAAAGTTGGCACAACGGAGGTACTCTGTTTTCTCAATGCTATACCTCAGTGCCTGCATCAGCACACGTCACAGGTGCTCAGTCTACTTCTGTTAAAGAGGCACCTGGATTGTGCGTGGTGATTAGCACAGCTCCTTCAGATATAGGCCTCAGAGAAGAGAGTGTACAACTGCCCTCGGAAACCCACTTCTGCATCTTTCCTTAGTACCACCTGGCCTGAGCCGCCTGCCTTGCAGTGGGTATACTCTGTGTACTGGGGCAGATCACCTTCAGCCATCCAGGGCGTACAACAGTTTCCTAGCTCCTTTCCCTGGTTTTCACCATTGTGAGATTAAGAAGTTAGGTAACAAATGACAGGTTCCTGGCTAGTGTATTAGTCACGGGTTTGATTAGTGTCTCTCCCCCCACGAGTCACTTGTGTGTCTGGTCTGCTGCTGCATTCCCAGGCCCCAGAACAATGCCAGGCACATAGTAGGTATGCAGGGGACCCCCAGATACAGCCTAGGCCATACATATGCAGTCTCTGTTCACAGACTTGCAGCACAATATTTTAAGTCACATAAACAGCGCTTTTTCCTTTTAAGGCACAAAAAGTCTTGTTTACGAATTATGTTTACATAAGTTTTCAGACAGAAATCAGGAAAGTATTTCCATGAAGAGGGTGTAGTAGTAAGTGACTCTAGATGTTAAGGGCAGCATTAAGTGCTTAAATTATGTGATTTCAGGGGTCTGGTACTGCCTCCTGCCCCTAAAATTACTCTAGGGCAGAATTTCTCAATCTTGGCACTACTGACATTTGGGGCCAATATTATTCTTTGCTATGGAGCGTGGGCTGTCTTGGATGAAAGACGTTTAGACGGGATAACCTGTGAGCTTGAACTCCTTGGGCTTCAACAGTCTCATCTATCAAATAACCATGATGTCTGCTACCTTCTAGAACTGCACTGCCCTATGTAGTAGCCATTAGCCACGCATGGCTATTTAAAATTATATTTAAATTAATTAAAATTAGACACAATTTAGAACTCATTTCCTCAGTCCCATTAGTCACATTTCAAGTGCTCATAGCTACATTTGGCTAGCAGTCACCATTCTGGAAAGTACCAAGAATATTTCCATCACTGCAAAAAGTTCTGATGAGAAGGGTAATGAATGAAGACACTTATTTGAAAAACTATTCTTCAGTTAAAACAGCTAGCACAGAAAAATGCAAAGAACTATATACCACCACCTTTGTACCCATCCTAGCTAAAAAAAAAAAAAAAAAAAAAGTCTTTTGGACTTAGTTCCTGCTCACTGTGTGCTCTAGTACAGCAAAAACCCATCAAAACTCTCCTCATTTTAACCCTATCTCAGGCCACCAGCTGAGGTGCTAACTTGTTTATACAAATCACATACTATGTGCATGGAACATGCTAGTTACAGATACTGTATCCTGCTGCAGGCCCCAAATGGCAGGAGGCACAAGGCTGACGCTGCTCCTAGAGGTCGCCTGTGACATCCAACGGACGTGTTTGGTACCTCGGGTCCATCCCTTGCATGACAATTTCATCCTGCTTGCACTCCATCATGTCGTTTGTGAACATCGCGTGGAAGTACGGGATGGAGGCCGCTAAGACGATCCGGTGAGCACTGAATTTGTGGTCCCCAATCTGTGGGCAAAGTGAAACACAAACACAGATACTGAGGAACGCAGATACAAAGACCCAATCTGCCTCTTCCGCAGCTTAACACTCTGCCCATGTTCCCAATGGTGCTGGGGGCATCCCATGACATGACAGCAGAGGCTTATCATGCAGACCCTCAAGTACCTTAAATTCAATGTACTCAGTTACAGTAAAGAATGCAAACAACACATTTTAATGAGGTATTAAAATGGTTAAAAATGTAAGCCTGAATGTTTCGACTGGTAGTTTTTACTTATATGGCAGTCTTCACTGCACCCCTCCCAACTTCCACACCAACTCAAAGACCTGATTTCTCTAACAATTTATCCTAATCCCAGTTGGATTAGAAGGCAGATGAAACAGACAAGCTGGTCAAGAACCCTGGAGCTCCTAACAGTAGGTTCCTCAAGAAGAGTTAACATATAGTGACAGGAAAGGAGGAAAAACAAGACCAAATTTGAATAAGGGGTGCACGTGGGGATTAAGGGCAGAGCAGGCACCGTGGGCACAAATGTTGGGGGGGGGGGCGGGGAGAGGTCCCTGGGTAACAACTGGGCTGTGGTAGATCACAAGGAGCCCAGAGTTCCTCTTAGGAAAACGTCCCTGGCAGCAGCCAGCTGGAGGCTGCTGCTGTGAACCGGATGGCGCTGTGTGTGGCCCTCGGTGCGCAGGCACGCAGCTCTCACAAGGACAGGGGCGAACTCTCCAGCTTGTGTCAACCCCTCGCCAACACATCGTTAGCCCGGGGAGTTCTATCAAGTGCTGCTTTCCAACTACCTGCCAAAAGGATATTCCCTTCATAAGCTTTGCCATTTATAGCTCCAAGCCGCATAAACATTACCACTTAAGAACTTTCCACTCTTCGGAAAGAGCAAAGCAGGCTTTTGTGTTTCCTTCATCCAAGTTCCACATTAGTGAGAGGCCAGAGCCTCTCACTAACTGATGCTCGTCTTTGTGTCACATCTATGACAGGATTCTAGCTCAGGATTCAGGCTCTAGCACTACGTCCTCTTTTTCACTGAACTTCAGGTTTGTTATCTGTGAACTATCCTTCAAGATCACACACACAATCTTCTGAATACCAAGGGATCCTTGTTAGAATCAGATTCTCTGAGTTCCTCATACAAGCCACGTGTTTCTCCACTACTAGTGTCAGGGACATTAAATGGCTGTGTGCACTGGTGGTTTTTCATAACTTAAAAAATACATACAAATATTTCTTAACGTTGTTCCACAAGGCTTAGAATGAAAACCAGCAATTTCTGGTTCCGTTTCCTGTTTCCAGGGGCAACCTCTTTCTTCTGGTATTTATTTCCCCTTTTCTAAGTCACGTGCCTATACCATCACGTCCTGAATTTTCAATTTTAGCCATTAGTTGTGGTAGTCAGTCTCCAAATAGCCCCAAATGATCCCTGCCTCCTGGTATTCACACCCTTGTTCAGTCCCTCCCACAGTATCTCAGGGTTGGTCTGTGTGATTGATAGAATAGCCAGAGTGATGACTGTAAGTCACATTAAAGGCTAGGTCATAAAAGGTACTGCAAATTCCTCTGTCTCTTCTGGATCACTTGCTCTTGGGGAAGCCAGATAACAACACACCCTGAGGGAGTCCCAAAGAGACCGCAGAGCCCCAGTCAAGCCGCCAGATGACCACAGCCCCAGGTCTGCACCCTCATGAGAGGTCTCTAAGCTGCTTCTCAATTCCTGACCCACAGAAACTGAGATAAGATATAAACATTTGTTATTTTAAGTCACTAAGTTTTGGGGTAATTTGTTATGCAGCAAAAGATAACTATTACGTTACCTATTTAATTCTTAGGATGGAAGGTTAGGATTTTGTTCTGACATTCTCTTCACATACTACTCCACTTACTGTCTCCATCTTTCAATATAATATAATTCTGGCTAAATCAGTATTAAGAGTTACATTATTAGGTCTATATGAATTTTATTTGTAGCTAAGCCATGATGTATACTATGATTACATTTCCTGTTTTGTATAATTTCTACTTTCCCTGGAGGTAATAAAAAAAAAGTGTAAAACTCCTTATAATATGTTCAATCAGGTATGCTTATCAGTTGGCTCTTGTTTACTCTTGAGACATCTCTGCGGGAACTCTGTCCTTCTGGGAATTCCTTTCACCCCACCTACACTGGAACCCCCGTTTCCTGGACCCCATTTAATCCTCTTCCTGATTTATTCCCTTGTCCTTGTGGACAGTGTCTGCTAGTAGAGCTTCCTAAGAAAGGGTGTACTACAAACTGTTTTTACTCTCAGCACTTCTGAAACAAATGTGTGGGTTTCTTTCCTCACACAAGCTAATCCTCCAGCTCTCCAGGCACCAACTGGTGTCCTACAATTTAGTTCAATCTGACACTACCTACCCAGTGTTACTGTAGAGCCACAGGTTAAGGGCTCAGTCCCATAAGAATGCCCCTGCTTCAGATACCATTTGCAAGTCTGGGCCACACATACTTCTGACCATATTGGCTATAGAGTCGTGGGGGGGGGGGGGGGGGGGGGGGGGTTGATACTTGGCTGAATGATTCACAGAACTCAGGAAAAACAATTTACTTACTATCACTATTTACTATTATAAAGGATACTATAAAGCATACAAAAGAACAGCCAGATGAAGAGGTACATAGGACAAAGTTTAGAAGGGTCCTGAGCACAGGAACTTATGTCCCCATGGAACTGTGTGCCACCCTCCTGGCATGTAGATATGCTCATCAACCTAGAAGCTTGCCAAAGTCCGTTTAGGCGGTTTATGGGGGTTCCGTTATGTAGGCATGACTGGTTAAATCACTGGTCATCAGTGATTAACTCCATCTCCAGTCCCTCTCCCCTCCTCCCCAGAGGTTGAGGGGTGGGGCTGCAAGTTCCAAACCTTGAATTACATGGCTGGTTCCTCTGACAATCAGCCCCTATCCTGAAGGTATCTAGGAGCCCACAGGGTTACCGCATTAGCATAAACTCAGGTCTGATTGATTATTCCTCTCACCCTCTCTCTCAGAAAATTCCGTGGGTTTTAGAAGTTCTTGTGTCAAGAGCTAGGAACAAAACCAAACATCATAACAAAAAACGTCATCACTCCTACTGCTCAGGAAATTACAAGAGCTTTAGGAGCTCTATGCCAGTAACCAGGGACAAAGACCATTAAATACTGTTATAATGCTTATATTACAATATCACAGGGCAGGTGCACAATATGTCTGAAAATGTTTTTATTATCCTTAAACTTGGGTGATAATTTAGCTGGCTATAAAATTCTACAGTGGGAATATTTTTTTCTGTCACACTTTTTTTAAATTTTATTTATTTATTTTTTTTAAGATTTTTTTTTTAATTGGGGAATTGGGGGGATGGGAACAGTGCTGGGGAATTGGGGGAAGGGGAACAGGCAAGTTGCTGTCGTTTTGTTCTTCAATCTAGTTGTGGAGGACGTTGCTTCACTGGCCCAAGTTGGCACCATCATTGCGCTCTTCTCTGGCGAGGCAGATCAGTCGCCGGCATCTGGACGGCCGCTCACTGCGGCTGCTGGCCGCTCACGCTGGCTGCTGGCCACACACGGTAGCCCATTGCAATCCACTGCCACAGGGACTGCAGCCCACGCCGTCGCCGGCGACTCATGGCAGCCCAGCTCCAGGTTGAGCTGTTGTTCAGCATCTTAGCTGTGGAGGGCAGTGTCACTGGCCCTCACATGTGGGATCCGAACCGGGGCCCTCTGGCATCCCAAGCGAGTTCTTAACCATCGCGCCACTCGGCCGGCCCTCTGTCACACTTTTGAGGGTATTGCTCCATTGTCTTCTATGTTGTTGCTCTTGAGAAATCTAGTGCCATTTTGAATAGTAACCCTAAATATGTGACTGTTCTTTCTAGAAGCTTTTAGGACTTTCTCTTTATTCTCAGAGTTCTGACATCTTACAAGGGCTATACCCTGATGTTGATTTTCTTTCATTTTATTGTACTGTATCAGTCTACAGACATTATTTTAGTTCTAGAAATATCTCTTCATACCATTTCTTTGATAATTTCCTCTTCTCCGTTGCCTATTTTTTCTCTTCCTAAATTTCCATTAGTCAGGTGTTAGAACTTAGAATGATCCTCTATTTTTTTTTTTTTTTTACTGGTTCTCTCCTATTTTCCATCTTGAAAGAGATGGTCTAGTCCAGGAATTTTCTTGAACTTTGTCTTCCAATATTTCTGTGTTATAGCTTTTTATACTGGCTAACAGGTCTTTCTTATTTTCTGAAGGTTCCTTTTATTTAAAGAATCTTGTTCATCTTTTCTAATCTCTCTCAAACATTATAGTTAAATTTTCTTCTCCTCCTCCTCCCTGCTTTTACTGTTGCCTGAGTTCTTGTCTCTCCCATTTTTTTTTTTGGTCTTTGTCTTTTATGTTAGAGGCGTTCTTTAAATGTCTCTTGATGCTTGGCTATCTGCTCATAGTTTTAGAAGCTGTTTGAAAACTGTGTGTGGGGGGCTAGGGTTGTCAAATTATGGACTTCACATAAAGGTGATCAGGCAAGAATCTGCCATTTTATTGAGGACCCCTAGAAGTAGTATATTTAAAACTTCTTCTCTTGGGCTAATTTTATCAGAAGGCTCTTCCCATCTCTTGCAAGGGAGTGCCTGCCTGCAGATATTCAGGAAACTGGGTGAGAGAGGGAGATGGTCCTATATCATTTACTATTTAGAACTTTGTCTTAAAGCCCTTATTTTCAGTTTTGCTCCACATTCCATCCTTTTATGTTTGGTGTGCTTCTGGTTCAATATCTAAGACTATAACTCCCATCTCTTGAGAGAGTGGGGGTGGGATTGTAGGCATCTAATTGCTTTTCACACAACTTTCAACTAATCTTCCTGTTTTTGGTTTCCTCAGTTCTGGAACTATTCCAGGGTTCTGCATTACAAATCCTCTTTCTTCTTAGTTTCTTTGCCCCCTAGCAGGCACTTTCAGTTCCTCTGGCCCACTAAGTTCA